GTGTCAGAGGCAGTGCAGTTGGCGCAGGATAGAGCAGGGTTTAGGGCTGTTGGGCATAGGGTCGCTATGAGTCACAAACGACTCGACGGCACAAAACAACAACAACAACAATGCAGAACCTATACTTGGACCAAGAGGCAGTCAGCAGAACACAGCAGGGAGACACTGGATGGTTCCAAATCAAGAAAGGGGTCTGTCAGGGATATACTTTGTCTCCATACCTTTTCATTCTGTATGCAGAACAGATCATCCGTGATGCTGGGCTGTACGAGGAGGAATGTGGCATCAGGATTGGTGGAAGAATCTGAGGAAGACCTGAAACGCTTGCTGCAGAAGGTCAAGGACTGCAGTCTTTAATATGGATTCAAGCTCAACATCAAGAAAACACAGATTCTCACCACTGGGGCAATTGGAAGCATTAGTATGGGTGGTGAAGAGATTGAGATAGATAAGAGTTTTTGTTTACTTGGTTCCACAGTGAACACTCTTGGTAACAGCAGCCAGGAAATCAGGAGACTAATTACATTGGGAAAGTCAGTTGTGAGGGACCTCTCAAGAGTACTGAAGAGCAGCAACATCAGGCTGGAGGCTGAGGTGCACCTGATTAAGGCTATAGCCTTTGCAATTATGTGCTATGCATTGAAGAGTTGGACAGTGACTAGGGATGATAGAAAGAGAATTGATGTCTTTGAGCTTTGGTGCTGGAGAAGAGTGTTGAATAGACCATGGACTGCTAGGAGAACAAACAGGTTAGTCCTGGAGAGGGTAAAGCCAGAATGCTCCCTGGCATCAAGGATTCTGAAGCTTCCTCTGACATACTTTGGGTATGTTGCAAGGAGGAACTGGTCCTTGGTGAGGGTCATTATGTTTGGGAGAGTGGAGGGATGGTGCAGGAGAGGAAGACCCTCGATGAGATGGTAGATTCTGTGAGTGCAGTTGTTGGAATGAGTGTGTTTGAGACGGCGAGGTTGGCACAGGATAGAACAGCATTTAGGGCTCTTGTACATAGGGTCGCTATGAGTTGCAAGCGAATCGATGGCACATAACAACAACAACATTATTGACATGACAAGAGTCTAGATTAAGAGCATAATAAAGTAGACTGGGGTGGGGGGAGTATTACATAACAATGAAAGAATTTTTTTTTTTCTATTCCAAGAGAAAAGCGACTAGGTGGGGAGGGATGGGCCAGGAGGAAAATGTACAATGAATAATTGGAAATCTAAAGTCTCTATAAACTTTTGTTAACATCTCAATTAAAAGAAGAAACCTAGGGAAATAGAGGCAACGATTCTGAGGCTCCATCTAACATACTTTGGTCATGTTGTGAGGAGAGACCGGTCCTTAGAGAGGGACATCATGCTTGGGAGGGTGGAGGGATGGCGCAGGAGAGGAAGGCCCTCTATGAGGTGGATTGATTCAGTGACTGGGTTAATTGGGATGGGAGTGTCAGAGACAGTGTGATTGGCACAGGACAGAGCGGAGTTTAGGGCTGTTGTACATAGGGTCGCTATGAGTCGCAGGCGACGCAACGGCACATAACAACAACAGAGAAATAGAAGAATATATCATGTTAATGACTATGAAAACTTAGTATTCTAAAAATGAAATTATACCAAAAGCAATTTAGAAGTTCAGTGTAATACCAATATAAATACTTATTCTATTCTTTGATGAGATGGAAAAAGGCAATTTACAATTTTGTCTGGAATGGAACGAGACTCCAAACAAACAAAGCACTACTGTAAAAAGAAAAACAAGGTAGGAGGCATCACACCCCTGTGATCTCAAATCTTACTACATAGTCATAGGAATCAAGACAACATGACAACGTTATAATGATGGACACAAAGATCAATGGAATAGACTCCAGAGCCCAGAAATCAACTCATCTACCTATGGTCAAGATGAGCAGTTCCTCTTTGATGAGGAGACAGAATCTGTTAAGTGCGGAAATGAGAGCCTCTTTGACAAAGAAAACTGAAGCAAGATCCACATGTCACACAAAAACCAACTCAAGGTAGATCAAGGATCTTGGAGTAAAACCAAAGACTATAAAATTCATCAGATAAAAGCTAGAAACAACTCTAGAAGCCTTACTCTACAGCATTAATGGATTTCTAAGAAAGGTTATATTTGCCTTATGTAGGGTATTCTATTGCTTTGTGAAAAATAGGGAGGTCTGGTGGCCTAGTAGATAGAGAGTTGTACTGACAACCCAAGGGCCAATGGTTCAAAAGATGGGAATTCTTCTCTCATTTGATTTAAAGTTTCTAAAAACCTGCTGGAAGATCAACTATGAGTCAGTACCCACTCCACAGTGATGATTTTGAGCTTTTTATGTAAGAAAACACAGCAGACCATGATTAGCACTTGAGTCTAGGTTCACTTATGCTGTTGTATTTGTTGCATTGGGACCCATTCAGACATTTTTGAGCAGCCAGTGGTTGACAAAGGCTGATTGGTACATAATAACCTCATTAGCGCCAGCTAGAAAAGCTTTGACTTTCTCTGTGTTCTCTCATATTCCGATGGACTTGCCTTGGGTAATGTGAATGATGATTCATTCAATGATGGTAATGAGCCAATGTCTCAACAACAAGCAGAAGATTATACTCTACTTATATTTTCTATTGATGTGTAGTGTATTCAGGTTAACCAGAAGTTTAACCTGGCAATCAAAAGGTCAGTAGTTTAAATGTACCTGTAGTAGTTCCATATGAGAAAGATGAATTAGACTGTCCCCAGCAAACGATACAGTCTTGAAAACCTGATGGAGGGTGTCATGATTGAATCCAGAACCAGCATTAAATATGTGAGTGGCCACATCAAGTCACATGGCCAGCCTATATTTTGGGGGAAGGAAGGAGATTTCATTCCTTGATGAGAATATCTTCAAGATACTGCTACAAAACCTTGGGTGCAGAAACAGGAGTAAGTTGTGGGCTTCTTCACAATTTCCTCACTTCTACAACTGGATCTTAAAAAAAAAAAAGCCCAAGAAGTCCAATGTAAATGGCTAACATTAAAACTTGTAGAATTGTATAACCAGAAGAGATATGTCTTTGAAGTTGTGCACAGTTTTATTAATGTACTTGATCAACAGAAAATATTTAATTTTTCAATTTAGCTTTTATTCAGTGTCTATTTTTACGTTATTTCCCATTCTGTTGTTGGCAATTACCACAGAGTAGTATTGTTATTTGTGCCTTGGTTTTGTCAAACATACCGTATTTCTCCTGTCCTTCCATAGCAGGAACTATGAAATACATATTTGAAACACTTCCATTAATGATGCCATATTTTATTCCTAAATTAGTGAATTATTGAGAGTAATGTATAAATATCCAATGTTTAGGTGTTCTACTAAGTCTTCCTCACTAAATATAATAATTACCTCCTCCTTCCACATGATGTCTCTGTTTATTCAGGGTGAGAGAACTAGAAGGGATCTGAGAGATTATCTTACTTCTAAACCCCTCATTTTATGTACCAAGACATAGACCCTGAAAAACCCAACGTCCAAAGTTAGTAATAGAACTGGCAATGTAGCAACCAGGTCCTCTGATTCCCAGTTTAATACTTTGTCTACTGTTCATTTCATGGTCCCCCTGTAAGTACTTAAGAGTCCTGTAGTATCTAAATTCTTTTCCAGATTACCACCATTCAGTTTTCTAAAATAAGTACTCATTTTCCCTTCTCTTCTTTCTAGCCTTCTATCAGTTTCTAGCTTTTCCCCACACAAGTATTGCAATGTGCCTATCAGGAACACATCAGATCAGCCATCTCTCTGTAAGAAATGTTTGTATGCATTTTACAACCAATAGTTGGAGTGTCTATAAAACAGTTCTCAACTTCTTGACACACGTTCTAGATGAAGAACTATGTGCCTTTGTCTATAAAACTTTGAAAATAATGACCAATTTTGACTCATGATAAAATTTTGAAGGAAGTTGTCATTTATCTCAAATAACTATTGAGTTAACATGTTTCCAGCTTCCCAAATTATCTGACCTGCTGTTGGAGATTGTTTTTATTTGCTAAGTGATCTTTGCCAGGTTAAAAATTTTAATCAGAGGGCAGAATCTGTTTCAAGTGAATATTAGTATACCTCTTAAAATTGCTTGTTAATCCCTGCAGGCTTGGGACATGGCCTTGGCGAATAATCAGCCTTCCATTTGGTTTTTTTCAGGAAGCTTACCGGGAGGAGCAGCTCATTAACCGACTGATGAGGCAGTCCCAACAGGAGCGCAGGATCGCAGTGCAGCTCATGCATGTTCGGCATGAAAAGGAAGTTTTATGGCAAAACAGAATTTTCAGAGAAAAACAATATGAAGAAAGAAGACTTAAAGATTTCCAGGATGCTCTTGATCGAGAAGCGGTAAACAATATCTCCCTTAAAAATCTCTCCAAAGTTACCTTTGATCTTTTCTACCAAGTCATTGTAAACACTACCAGATTTTGTTCCCAATCCCCTTCTTTAGTCTTGGGTCTACAGGTAACAAGCTTAGTTTACCAATAGTGCGTATGTTATTTTGATTGTCTAAAGCTTGTTCTTCAACATTTCCCAGAAGATCTCATGAGACTAATAATACTTTCTAAATTCTTATATACTGAGAAGAACTTTTACATCATTTGGGAGACTGGAGGGACAGCACAGGAGAAGATGACCCTTGATGAGATGGATTGATTCAGTGATTGGGATAGTTGGTAATAGGTGTGTCAGAGACAATGAGGTTGGCACAGGACAGAGCAGGGTTTAGGGCTCTTGTATGTAGGGTCGCTGTGAGTCACAAGTGACTTGATGGCACATGAGAATAACAACAAGATATTTATAAAACCAGACCTAGTAGGACATTTAAACCTTACAGGAACAGGGAAGTAGCACTTTATTTCTCATCTTTGTGGATTCAGCTAAGGTGTTTGATTGAAGAAGCAATATAACTTTAAAAAAATGCAATTTTTGAAAATACCATTTTTTTAAAGTGCCATGCTCTTGAGAGATAGGAACCCAGTGCCTTTGCTTTTTTTTTTTTATACAACAGATGCAGCATAAATATTGGGGTAAGAGGTAGGTGGATTGGAGAAGACATACCATATAAATTTAGCTATGTGGATACTGAGTGTAAACCAATTTGACCTCAATTATCTGGATAGGACTGAAATATGTAGGTAATTGTCTGCTGCTGCTTCAGTAAGAGTAGATGTGACCGGATTAAGTAAGAGTTGAGTACATCAGAAATGGTTGTTTTTAGATGTTTGAGTCGCAGTCGACTTGATGGCATACAGCAACAACATATGTCATTTTCACAGCAGCCATCTGTGGTAGTGTCTATCCTTTTATAAATAAGAAAATCTTAAAGGGCTTGAGGTCACGTAATTTGTCACCATGATAGAGCAGCAAGCAAAGCAAGTCTACCAGCCTCTCTAGTCCCAGCTCATAACACTGAGATTTCTTACCTCCCACGTATTTCCTTTTCCCTTTGCTTCTTTCTCTTTTTAGGTTGCAACCCACTTTACTGTAAGGGGGCAGGAAATAGTGGTGTGTTCAGTCAGCAGGATTGAAGGTAGTGGTAGAAAAGTGGGAGAAGGAAGACTAGGGATCTGGGAAGGAAAGAAAGAAGAAAGAATGGAAGAGAGGAAGGGAAGGAGAGAATAGCAGCAACTGTTCTGTTCTTGCCTCAGAAACTCTGCTGTCTCCTTTAAGTCAGTAGCATTCTGAGATTTCTTCACAGGCGCCCTAGAGAGAATCAAGCTTAGGCCCCGATGGTGTCACTGTCTCCATAAACTCTCATTTCCCCACTCCTACTCCCTGTGACTCCTCCTCTGATTTCTTCATACTTCAAAGACTCAAAACTCAAACTCATTGCTATATATTCAAAACCAATTTATAGCTGACCCTCTGTCAGGTTTTCAGAGGCTGTAAATTGAACAGGAGGGGATTACCCTGTCAAGGAAATCTTTATCCTATTGAGGTTCTGGTGGATTTGAATCCACGAAGGTTCTACCTTTGAGTTGGCAGTGCCACTCTTTATGGACTGCACCACCAGAGTTGTACTTACACAGAATTCTTTCTTCACCAGAACAAAACTTACAAAGAGTGCATCAATTACAAATCCTGATGTAAGCCTCTAAAACATGCAGAATTTACCTTCAAATCCTCTTAGTCCAATTTCTTCCCCAAGAAAGCAAAAATAAAAAATTAAGCCACAAAAGCAAACAATATACTATGGACCTTCTATCACAATCCATTGGTATGCATTTAGCCTCTCATATGTAATGTAAGTAGTATTAACTACCTGTAAAAACCTGCTGGAGGGTTAGCTATGGGTCTTACGGTACAAAACAACAACAACATCACTGTATTTACTCTGATAAGACATTAGGTTAGTTTTTCTGAAGACATTGTTGTTTGTTATGTATTGTCAAGTCAACTACAACTCATAGCAACCCTATGAATGACAGCCCTGAACCTTGCCCTATCCTAAGCCATCTGACATACCTCACCCCATTGCCACTGCCACTGTGTCAGCCTATCTCATCCAGGGTCTTCCTTTCCTGCACTGACCCTCTACCTTTCCAAGCATGATGTCCTTCTCCAAGGACTGTCCCCTACTGGCAACAAGCTTGGTTTCTAAAGGTATGAGATAGTATCAATTTCCTTGCTTCATGTGAAGAAATAGATACTCTTGGAGGCTCACCCCTATATCACACATAGTCTTTGAATCTTGTACATAACTGGAGCTTCAGTTTGACCCAGCTCCTCCATAGTGTGAATTTATTTCTACTTCACACTTGCTAAAATAAGTTACAGGAGGAAAGTCATGTTTCTGGAACATATTAGCACATGATGAGATTTCTCAAGGAGTTGGCATAGCTTTTTAAAAGCAACATTTTTGGCTATTAGAGACCCAGTAATTGAATGTTGTGTTATTCTCAGTTTTAAAGAGCTGAGCTTGACTTTTATATTTTGTGTGAAGAAGGGATTTCCTAAAGAAAATAACAATAGAAACCAAATAGAAAGTGATGACATACTACTTAAGAATCTCTTTATTCCTGAATAATTGAAGCAGTCCTGAAAAACAAAAGTGAAGTGGGAGGCATAGCACTCAAAACAACAGGGTTACTGGTTCAATGACAGCCACATATAACAAGGGAACAGATTTGAGCACCCAGAAATTAAGCCCTCTACCTGTGGTCAACTGGTATTTGACAAGGAAGCAAAGCCTATCAAGTGAGGAAATGATAATCTTTACAACAAATGATGCTGGCAAAACAGGATTCCTATCTGCAGAAAGCTGAAGCAGGATCCATATCTGACTCCATACACAAAAGTCAACTCAAGGTGGATTAGGACCTATAGATAAAGCCCAAAATCATAAAGTTCATATGAGACAAAATGGGACCAAACATAGAAGGCATAAAGTATGGTATAAATAGTCTGGCAAATAAAGCCAGAAATGCACAACTAGGAAAGAATAACATTGATGAATAAGACCTTTGAGAAATTAAGTCCCTGTATGCATCAAAAATGTTATCCAAAAGAGTGAAAAGCAAAAGCTACTGACTGGGGAAAAATATTTGGCAATGGCGTCTCAGATATTTAAAATTTATAGAACACTCACTATAGGGTTTCCACAAGAAAAGACTGATAACACAATTGCAAAATGGGCAAAAGACATGGGGAAAAAAACAAACATGGAAAGTCTTCTCTCAGAGGAAGATGTTCAGATGGCCAGCACACATGAAAAAATGCACAAAATCACTGATAACATAGAGAGGAGTAAATAAAAACCACAATGAGATACTACCTCATCCCGGTGGCAAAGTTGAACAGGACAGTAGGAAATAAATATTGGAGAGGATATGGAAATATTGGAAATTTCATACAATGTTGAGGAAATTATAAAATGGTACAACCAAAAAAGACTATCCAACAGAATGTGAAAATTATCAAACAGTATCACTAATACCACATGCAAGCAAATACCTGCTGAAGATTATCCAAAAATTACTAGCAAAAGCCAGGCTTAGAAAAGGCCAATGTCAGATGGATCTTGTGTTTCATAAACTGTAAATTTTACTGTATGGATTTCAACAAATTATGGCTAACCTTGAGAAGAATGGGAATCCCAGAACACCTGATTGTTGTCATGTGAAACCTATATTTGGACCAAAAAACAGTTGTCAGAACAGAGCAAGGAAACACTGTATGGAACAAAATCAAGAAAGGAGTGCATCAGGGATGTGTCTTGTATCCATACCTTTCCAATCTCTATGCAGAGCAAATTATTCAGGAGGCTGGGCTTTACAATGAGGAATGTGGCATAAGAATTGGGGAAAGACTCATCAACAACCTTTGATATGCAGATGATACAACCATGCTTGCTGAAAATAAGGAAGGCCTGTCAGAGAACTGGACAGTGACTAAGGATGACAGATTGATGGCCTTGATCTGTGGTGCTGAAGAAGAATGTTGAACTATCAAAAAAACAAACAGGTTTGATCCAGAGAGGGTGAAACCAAGTTTCTCCTTAGGGGAAAATATTTTTAAGCTCGGACTCACATATTTTGGTTGTGTTGCCAGTTGGAACCATTCCTTGGAAAAGAACATCATGCTTGGAAGGTTAGAGGGACAGGGCAAGAGAGGAAGACCCTAGATGAGATGGATTGATGCAATGACTATTATACTGGGATTAGGTGTGTTGGGCACAGTGAAACTAACTCAGAATAGGAAGGGTTCAGAGCTGTCTTGCATAAGGTTGCTATGTGCCTCAGGCAAGTCCATGGCACTTAATAAGAACAGCAACCCTGGAAGGCAATTTGACGTTTTCCTCAAAAAGCTGAACCTAGAAATTTCATATAACCCAGCTATTCCACTGTTAGAAATATACCACAAGGAAAATAAAACTAAGATACAAACAGAGATTGTACACAATAACAAGAAAATGGAAACAGCACAGATACCCATCAACAAATGGATGGATTGAGAAATTATGATACATCTGTATAATAGAATAATGTGCAGTAATCAGGACCAATGATTTTGGAAAAATCATTTTACATGTATTACATGGAAAAGTCTTGAGAGTATTATGCTGAGTAAAGTAAGTCTTATGAGGACAAATACTGCATAAGATCATTATTGTAAAAATACAAGGATGACTATCAGAATGTATAAAAGTGTACAAAGGAGGAGGGGGATAAGAGAAAGGGCTGAAGGTGGGAAGGGGGAGAAATCATGAAGTCAAGCATTTCCTCAGTGGAGGAACAGGTGCAGGAATTAGGAAAGATCCAGTGAGGACCTGAAAAGGCAGGGTTATAGTGGGCATAGGTCAATGGTGATTATTTTTTTTTTTAAAATACAATGTATGGGAATGAACATATGAAACACAATGTATATAAAAAACAATGTATATGAATTTTATATGTAAACCAATATAAAATTAAAATATTTTTTAAAAAAAATTTCAAAGAAAATCTTGTCA